AACATGTAAATAATACGAGACAACAGAATATTTTTAATTTTAAAAAGCAGGAGCTAATAAGAGTAATAATACGGGACAACAGAATATTTTTAATTTTAAAAAGCATGAGCTAATAAGAGTAATAATACGGGACAACAGAATATTTTTAATTTTAAAAAGCAGGAGCTAATAAGAGTAATAATACGAGACAACAGAATATTTTTAATTTTAAAAAGCAGGAGCTAATAAGAGTAATAATACGGGACAACAGAATATTTTTAATTTTAAAAAGCTGGAGCTAATAAGAGTAAGAATTATTATGGTATTCAATAATTAAATAAAAAACTAAAGAACTAGTAAGCACTAAATTCAAATTTGTTTTAATTTTTATTCGTTAGCACCACTTGGAAAATGGTTCCGTGGAGATACATTGATCAAACAGTCTCGTTACTTCCGCATGTCTGTTGAGAAAGATGTCTACTCTCTGCGTATCTCTGAAGCCTTCCCTGAAGACAAAGGTGTTTACAAGTGTGTAGCAGCTAATTCTGCAGGAACAGTCTCAACAAGTGCTAATTTGATTGTCATAGGTAATATTATTTCATTTTCTTGCTAATTAAATCATTGAAACATTCTTTCAGTAATATGTTTCTGATAAGTGAGTACTGGTAAGAAGGTTGATTTTCTTGAATAGAAGTTTTCAGATTGATATAATTTAGTACAAAATCTCTTTAGTTTCCTTGTAATGTTTTGTTATTGTGTTTGTGACTACGAATGTCTAGTTGTGAGTTTTGTCACATTTGCCTCTAATTTACACTTGTGTTTCAGTTTTGGTGGAATACTAAACACAATTTATTCCCCAGATGACTCAGTGGTAAGTTTGAGAGCTTATAAGGGTAAAAATTGGATATTGCTGGATACCAATATCAGCCAGAGCACAACTATCTATTTAGCCTATTGTGTAGCTTCGTGCTTAAAACAAACAAATATACAAAATTCAAAAATAATAAAACACTATAATCCAACCTAATTACAAAGTAAAGATGTATCTTACTGTAATGGATGAATAATTGTATTTCAGTTACTCCGACATCTTTACTTTGTAATTAGGTATCTTGCTGTAATGGATGTATAGTTGTATTTCAGTTACTCCGACCTAATTACAAAGTAAAGATGTATCTAAGAGATAAGGTTTCCTACATTTCTTCTAAGAAGTTAAATTTCAAAAGTTTTGTTTTGGATTGTTTGCATTATGGTTTATTAACTGTCATGTTATAGGTTTAGTCCTCCTCTTGTCGTATTAATGGATATAATTTTCTAGTACTGATAATGTTGAAATAAAAAATAATAATAATAACTTTGTTGAATGTTTTTAACAAATTTTTTCTTTAACTTGTATAGCACCAGAAGTGGTGGAAGTGGCTCCATCCTTAAGCCCTCTAGCTGACCTCACAGTGCCTAAAGGATCCCCAGCAAGGTTTGTTACCAGCATCTCTGGAGTTCCAACTCCACAGATTACCTGGTACAAAGGAGGGACCATAATCAAGGCATCAAGAAAATTTCAGGTACTTTTATACCTCTGGTCTTTACTATTTTAACTGTTATTTGGTAATTCGTCCTTGATTGCTAACAGTGGCAATTTAACTTAGTTACTAACAAAGATCTCTTCTTTTAACCAGAGTAGTGTTTTTGGGTGGCATGGCAACGAACAAGAAATTCTGGTTATTGTTTGTAAGAGGCACTGCATATGCAATTGGATCTGCTGTATCCAAATATGCACTCCATATGATAACTTATGTCAGTCAAATAGACACAGGGATTCTGGGTGGCTGCACCACCTTATCAGCATTAGTTATACACACAAGCTAGTTATCTCTCTTTTTTTATTTTCATATTAAATTATGCAACCTTTCTTCATTGAGGTTGGAGACTTTGTTCTTGATCTTCTGATACAGTGGAAGGCTACTACTACTACTATTATTGCTGTTGTCAGCACCAAACATATTTTTGAGTTCTGCCACAGCATCTTTGGGCTTTATAGATTGATTTTCTTTAACAAAGATTGTTGAAAAGCTCCTCATGTTTGTATCCATAGGAACTGCACCGGTTGCAAGTCGACCATATCAGAACGTTGCACATGCAGGTTATTTAGGGAATAACATGCTGGAAAGTAGCAAAGTTTCAGCTACATTTGGAGTTATATGCTGAAGATCTATTGAGCTCTGGTCTGACAAGAAGAAGGGACACTTAATAGACCCATGGGTTACACAACAAAAACTACTGTCATTAACTATGAGATTTCTCCTGGTGATGAAGCCAGTCATTTGGTGTCCAATTTGGAAACTGTAAATTTTCACAAACATGTCTCGTCATACATTATATAAAACTTTCACCAAAATCGGGTTAATCATGAATCTTTTATGTCCAATCCCTGCTACCAAAGTGCTTCTAATTGAGGAAGAAACACCGTGTTAAAAAGTTCCTTTTTACATGAGCATTGTGCGAAGCATGTGAATTATAATCAACTGGCTGTGTGCATCTGATGATACAAAAATTGGTTTAAAACTATTACTGTATTAGTTATTGTTTTTTGAAACTGTATGCTGTCAAGCCCAAAACATGTTATTTTATATTTTAACTATAGGCCCTTGTCAGTTTGTCAAATGTCACAACAAAAGACATGTTCCCTGATAAACCATTTTCAGGACATACGGCCTATGATTGTTAAAATTTTGATAGATTAGAACTGAGGAAAAATTACCATAAGATTTAAACAAAATAGACAGTATGATTCAAAACTCAAGGTATGCTTTGATTTATAATTTTTTGGGGTATAAAGAATAACACTCAAGTGCTTTATTCATAAAAGGTATGTGATTACACTATCGTGTCCATAGATTTATTTCTGAAAACATAAAAAATGTACACCTTTTCACTGGCAAGAAATTTTTTTATTCAAGAAACTTTCTGCCAGTGATTTATACATCTGTTATTTGGATGAGTAGAAATTTATGGGATGGAGAAAAAATTAACAAATCATTACGCATACCATCCACACCAAGATAAAGTACAGTACACTACCATGGAAAATATCCAATTTATATCTCAAGCAGACTGCTGTTTTCATACAGAACATAGAATAAAAGATGACTGAAAGCTCACCCCAGTGGTTCTCTTAGACTGAATAGTACTAGCAGACCATGTGTTAACGATCAAGTTTTCACATCAACAGCCAGCAATTACAGAGAAGACAGTGCTAATAGATGTGCTTAATATGGACTGGGAAACAATTGTAGATGGAAAGTTGTGTTCTAACTTGATATCCTTACAAAGAAAAAGTTTAACCTTTCAACTCACTGTGTGATACCAACCAAATCACATCTGTAGCCCAAGATAACTTGCAGGTGGTAAAGTTGAAATTGACAGTTCGATTGATATTATGGCTTGGACTAGCTTGGTGAAGTACAAAATAATGACCATCATCTTCAGACTGGCTATAATTATATACTACCTAGATATTCTGAAGACACAAAATGGCCATTTCTTTTTTATGGAATAAGAAAGTTAGTCATCAGTAGTATATAAATTCAATGAGTTAGTTATCAATACTATATAAATTCAATGAGTTAGTTATCAGTAGTATATAAATTCAATGAGTTAGTTATCAATAGTATATAAATTCAATGAGTTAGTTATCAATAGTATATAAATTCAATGAGTTAGTTATCAATAGTATATACATTCAGTGAGTTAGTTATCAGTAGTATATACGTTCAGTGAGTTAGTTATCAGTAGTATATACATTCAGTGAGTTAGTTATCAATAGTATATGCATTCAGCGAGTTAGTTATCAGTAGTATATACGTTCAGTGAGTTAGTTATCAGTAGTATATACGTTCAGTGAGTTAGTTATCAGTAGTATATACGTTCAGTGAGTTAGTT